ACAACAGAAAGACATGGATAAGCAAGGGTATAATTAGGGCTAAGGAGAAATTATTCAACTGTCAGCTGATATATTTAAACGGAAAGACGAGTTTATTTTGCTTGACGAAAATAGAAGAGGTCTATAACTACGTAGTAGTTGGATTGGAGGACGGTACCTGTTTAGAGAAAGCGGATACTATCAGGAGGATAGAATTAAAACGAAAGTCAGAGGTTCTCATGGGACACGTTGTAATACATTATAAGAACGATGCATATCTGTTGACTTTATGTATGTATTAAAATATCTCATCAAGTCCACCCCCCCCCCCTTTTTTTTAAGATAAAACGCATGTTTAATATTATACAATTGTTTCAGGGTCACATGGTAGATTGTATAGTCACTTGTTGACAGGAACATCTTCTGACATCATGGAATCTAATAGGTTGATCAGTGTAATTACTAATATCAATACGAAATATCCCATTGTCATGACGCATCTTAACGAAACGACCATAGCGATTTATGGTGCTGATGTCACGGACGAGGGGGCAATACTCATGATATACAATGTACAATTCAAATCGGCGCAAGCGGTGCAGAAGCTAAAACTTTACACCAACGACGCTAAGCTCTGGAAGGTGGAAGACAAATTATTGTTAGCGGCAAACAGACATTTAGCTGTCGCGCCCTATCACCTGGCGCCGCAAAGGATAGCCGCTATGTTGGGCTCGTCTTTGCGCTTCAAGAACGACAATGATAGTAACGATACAGACGATATTATTGTGATACAGGAAGCGACAATGGCTCAGTGGGACAAGAATCGAACATTGGCGAGAAACGCATCGATAGGTCAAATACCTTTGAATATCTCGAAAAAGATCTGCGCTTATTTGAACGAGGGATGGAGCGATTCCGCGATACAAGAGACCGTGATCCCATTATTGATGGAATCTGGCGATGTCGCGTCGATCTGTTGGTGCCTCGATACATTTAAAGATTTGCCAGAGAAGTTATTAGTGGATCTTTTGGTATTTATCTTAAAAAGTCCAGACAAAGTATTCGTTCTTCTGCAAAATGGCACGACTGATAGCACATTGAAAGCTAGTAATCCCTATTCCAGAGACAATTTTCTCGACAGAGTGTTCAGTATCAGCTATTCCAGTGTTTCATTGTTACCTCATCTGAAAACCGGTTTAACTTTCGATCAAGTACTTAAATTATTGGAATATCTAATGTGTAAATTGAATGAGAAAACGGACTCGCTTGACGATAATTCACAGCCGAACGATCAACAGTTGTATGAATGGTTCTGTGTGCTTCTCGACTCGCATTATCAACATTATTTATTGTCGCAAGATATGCACATTATGGAGCTTTTCAATCGATTAGATTCTGTCCTAGAAGAACATGTAAGTATGAAAAGTAATTTAAATACTCTTTCATCAACTTATCTACCAACTATCGTTTTTTTTCTTCCCAGTTTCAGTTTTTGCAAAATCTTGTCAACTTGAGGCCTATGATAGACAGGACAAACAATGGAAAACCATTACGATCTTCTTCGAGAAAACACAATAAATTCTATTCTATAGAAGAAATTAAACTTTATTAAATTATTAAGTAAATGAAAAGACACATTCACATCTTTCGCCTCATCGTAGTGTGTTGAAGATGTATGATCTTCATATATTTCTTATGTATTTTTCTATTAATCTTATGCAGAAGACGAATGAATAACTAATAGACGAAAACAATATAAATAATATTAAAAAATGCTGAACTTGATTTTTTTTACATTATTGGCTATAATTTTGATATTTTATGTTTCCATTTTCTTTCCGCAATTCCTTGTTATACTAAACGACAACTAAAATTAAAGTAAATATTCAACTAAACGGCAATTAATTACAGCGATATTTTCTTTTATTATTAATATCGCTAAGTAGATTCTACACTCTGATAAACGTATGTATATCTCTGGATAAAGTATTTAAAACTCGAAGGCTCGCAAAACGATACTATCTAGATTTTCATTATCATATATCTACTTTAATTCATCGATATATGGAACTGTGCATAAATTGCCGATTGCAGCCATGGATAATTTTCCTCCAGCAAGTTTTCCAGCAACCTAAAAGTATCGTAAAGAAACAGACGCTGTTAATTAAGTCTTAAGGCCGAAGCATAATGCATAAAACATATAAGAAAATCAATTTTTATTTTATGGAAAGGATCGAAGGAAATAAAGGATTTGATTGGTTAGTTTTCTTATGCATTATAGGTTATATTCAGAATGCGTTTTAAATCTCTAAAATTCTTCAGTATGTGTAACGTAAACTACAGCAAGTTGGCGCGCTTAAATCATTATAAGCGCGTTCTGAATACAGGCCTGAATATGTTATGCATTATGCAAGACTGGCTTCCGTCCTAACATATAAGTTTTGTGCATTATTATATATATTTTGTGACTACATAAATTTATGTGTACACACACACACACACACACACACACACACACACACACACACACACACACACACACACACACACATACCACAAATTAAATATTCCATAATGAAAGAATAAATTGAAAAGTGAACGATGTTGCTGAAAAAATGAAATCTGCATACCGATTTGACTTCAGATGCAGTTATTTTGTCTACTTCTGCAATGAGATAAGACGGTTTGTACACGCATCCTTTGATAATTGCTTGCTGTCCCATATTTTCCAAGTATACAGTATCATTATCTGTGGCATATAATATTTCCGCTTTCACCGTAGTCTTACCGCGCACGATATCAGCATCGGAAAGCTTAGGTGATCTCAGATACTCAATAGCAGCTTTTGTTACCTTCAAAGTAAGATAAAAAAATTATAACATATACATGAAATGTCTATTGAGAATTTTTAGCAATTATAGATTTGTATTTATGTTAAATGACAAAACTTACGGAACCAGCGACGTTGGGTACTGAGGACAGAATAAAACCAAACAATCCAGAATCACTGTAGGAAGCATTAAATGCCGAAAGGGCAAAATGATCGGTGTTCGTTACTGCGGAGACTGCTTTGTTCAGTGGAGACGCACTGGAACCCCACTTTACACGAGGGCCAGAACCTATTGCCCTTTGTAATATGGCACAAGCAAGAGCATCTTTCTCTTTGTTTAAACCTGCTGCTTCAACGGCTACTGCTACAGTGGACAATTCAGAGGAGCGTTCCTTGCGGAGTTCTCCTCCGCGATATTTGGCAATTTCCACAATATTATCTTTCGAGCCTACCTTCAGATTCGAAGCGAACTGTGTCACGTCCGATAGTGACATGCCCGTTGCTACGACCGCGCATCTCGAGCCAGTAAACCAAGTATTAACGAAATGTTGCAGCTGTGTAGGAAGAAAACAAATTTCTCTTTTGTGCTGTACGCTATTAATACGTAATACGTTACGTACGTACAGTTTCTGTATTGATTTTTCCAAGTTGTCTCTTTGGCGAATATAAAGAATAACCTAGTCCAGTACGATAAGCTGCCTTGTGCAACAATTCCATTATACGGGTTGTCTCGGGTATCATGGATAATTCATAGCGCAACCTGGGTAATTGATCGGATATTTCCCATGGCTTGAATACTTGCTGGGTGGCGACATCCTCTAGGAAAGTCAAAGCTTTGTCTCTGTTGCAATAGAATATATAAGTGTTGCAAAATTATTTAATATATAAATGTGTCAAATAAAGAAATTTGCTTACATGTTATTTCTCGTAATTTGTAATGTATATGCGATGCTTTCGCGATCAGTGGTGGCAGTTAAGTGTCCACCGAGTTGTTGGATGTTTCTAGTTATTCCAAAGCATGTTGATCTACAAGTGCTCAGACCAGCAGCGATTCGAATGTGATGTGCAGTGCCTTGTGTATCATATGTCTCGTTGCGTGAGCCAGCTCTAGATAAAAAAAAAGCACAAGAGAGAGATTATTTTATACTAATTTATATATTGTAACACCATTTTATCATTTGTTAACTTATAATATCATAATTCTTCATACCTAAAGATGATTGACACTTGAGTAATAGGATTATTGTTATCGAGCGTAGCAACTGTCACCTTATTGCTCCGCAATACCTGAACCTCTGGGGTCGGAATATTGGAACATTGAGCAGCCGCAGCAGCTGCATAATGCCTTACCTTGGGTAATTAAAAAAGCAGGTGTGTGTATATATATATA